GAGCTCACCCCATCATACAGCTCCATGTAGATGCTACTATAAAAAATGCAATATTCCATGTCCATGTGTTGCGAAAAAGTGACCATGCACATAGGATTAAACCACACCCTGCAGGAAAGAGGATTTGATCACAGTAGGATTAAAGAGAACAAGGTTGTTCATCTGTGAAATGTAGGAAGGTATGTTATATTTTCTAACAAGATGAAGGGGAAATGCTCATAGACACAAGCAAATCTGAAAGGGTTTATGCCAGCAATCATTGGCATCTCCAGATTTTTCTGTCAGAAGATGGAAAACATTTTGCTCTCAATGGCACTAATTTGGATGTATCATTTCCTTACCTTGACACCACGTGGGCCAGGATATCCGATCGGACCCTGAGGTCCAGCAGGTCCCTGATAGCAAAAGAAAATATAACAAAATGATTGCACAGGAGTGAAATTCTCATCTACTCTCATATTCCCTCTGAACATAATAGCTACTGGACGACTCAGGTGTGGCTTTGGGGCTGGAAAACAAAACCTGCATGTGAGCCCCAAAATTTAATTTTAAAAATGTTCTAGCTGCAAAAGCTATGGCCGCCTTACTTACATTTGCCACATATTGCTGAAGTCTATCCAACCATACTGAAACTGAGCAGATATATTATCCAAATCAAAAACCTCCTGAATCCATAGCTCCAGCTCTGGCAAACACTGAAACTGCTGTGGATGCTCTCAATGATAAACCTACTGCTTCATTACCCCTTTTAAAATGCTGCATCAGTTCTCTTTTTGTCTATATCTTTTAGAATAATGTCACCTTCCCTAGGAAAGGCTGAATTAGATACCAGTCCAGATATTGGGGCATCAATTAAGGGTATGGCTAATCAATCAATTAAATTATTTATCAAACACATACAGCTCTTCTACTTCTTTGCAAAATTTGTTGAATCACCTAATACTAGTCGAGATTTCACATTTCGATGCCAACTAAAATTTAGAGACTACAATAAAGTTCCTACATTGAGACAATGTCATATAAACCATTGCATACAAAGGGATGTATTGACTATGCTCTGCAACCTTTGTATCCAATGGCAACATTGTCCATTTAACCAAATGTGCAGCTGGACATGGAGCCAAATGCACAGCCAAATGAGCCACCAAAGGACTACTATAATTTATATCAGCTGGTGCTCAGAAGCTGAGAATATGTATCAGCATACACAATGGCACCACTTGGACGAGTCTTCTTTCACAGCCTTGAGTTGAACATGAGGACACATTGGAACAAAAGAAAGGTCTGGTTACTTTTGTAGGATAATTTATGTATGTTTGAAGGTGCATCTACACCGTAGAAATAATATAGTTTGACACCATTTTAAGTGCTGTAGCTCCATTCTGTGGAATCCTGAGATTTGTAGTTTTGCAAGGCGCAATCCCAGGATTCTGTAGGATGGAGTCATGCCAGTTAAAGTGGTGTCAAACAGCATTATTTCTACATTGTGGATATACCCCAAGATATCAAGAGAAGTTTGACCCAATACTCACAGAATACCCCAGTTAGCATGGTCAGGAAGGCCACCTTTAATAAATCTTGGTATCACTGTATTTTTAAAATCTTGGTATTACAGTACTAGAAAGCTAGTGTGGCGTATTGGTTTTAGCATTGGACTGCAACTCTGGAGATCAGGGTTTGATTCCCTGCCTACCAATAGAGACCCATGGGGTGATCTTGGGTGAGTCACACACTCTCAGCCTCACAAAACACCATGATAAGGCCACGATAAGTCTGAAATGACTTGAGGGCACAGATCATTTCAACCACCACCACTAGCGAAATCATGCAGCTAGAGCCAAAAGAATACAAATCGGACTTCTACTACTTCTTCATCTATTACTGGTCCCCCCCTTCCTTTCTTTAAAAAAGTGGGATTCTTGAGTTATACAAAGTTCTAGAAAAGCAGTTTCTGCCAACTATGCTGCTGGTGATGGGGATTCTGGGAGTAATATAATACTATATTACTAAATACTATACTACTTAATACTATAATACTAAAAATATAATTTCCCAAGTTCTGTTGTCAATTATTCTAGTCTTTCTAATGGAAAGCCTACAATGCATTCTGCGTCCCAGCATTTCTCTGCCTAATTGAAGGTCTTTTAGAGTAATTACTATACTAACTCCATTAATCTTCAAGAACTCCCAGCATTACTATTTTAAGACTAAAATATAGAGCACAGTGGGATCAGCATTATGGCTTCAGCTGGAAAGTCATCCTCCATCCACTGCTACCTTTAACTCCCCAGGACCAAGGAAATATTCTGTGCTGTTTTGAAAGTTGGCATGTTGAACAGCAAAGAATGGGCAATCCAAAGGTACTATTGTTTTTTTTTCCTTGTCTCTGCAAAGTTTGTTGAAGCAACAGGACTACCTATTAGTGATAGATTTCTTCCAGCCAAAATCCAGCTGCTGTTTTGTACCACAGCTGTGCTTTTAAAGTATAGTTCATAAATTGTTTTCTGATAACAGACATGTTCAGTGACATCAGAAAAGCTAGAAGCAGTGATTAAGTTTAGTGTGGCATTCTGGTGGGCCTTTGTATTTCTATTTTTAATCTACTCTTTTGAATAAAATGTCTTCTCTTTTTTTTTGGTGTTGGTGGCTCTTATGTGTTAAGGGAATATTTTGTCGCAGTGTGTGGAGGATGATCAGAATAAAGGTAAAGAATAAATCTCTCCATCCCTGCCATTTCCAATTCCAATTCTGCTCCTCCTCCCTTCCATGACTATTAAATATTATATATTTACTATAATTGGAGATGCATTTACACAATATCTTTCAACTCTCCTGGTTCAGCAAGGACAGTCCTAGTTAACTCTCTGCTGTCCCACTTTCCTAGCTTTTAAAAAATGCCCTAGTTTCTCTTTCCTCCTTCTGCTTTCCTCCTTCATCCACTGCTTCCTTCAACTGCTGCAAATGAACTGAAAGTGCTGAAGTAATTTACACTCATTTAACTCAGTAGGAGGAGAGGAATGGAGAAGAAGGGATGTTGGCCTTTGCCTTTTTAAAACTCAGGGGGCACCCAGACTAATTTGAAAGACCAGAAAGTCCCAGATTTTCTCCTGTTCTTTCCGAATCTATTGGGGAAATCCATGCACATTTTGTTTATTCTTGAACATTTTCTGTCAGCTCTTGGTATGATCACAGACTTTTTATACCATCTCCCCAAGTAGATTTATTTTAACCCAGTACATGGCGTAGTGGTTTGTGTGTTCGACTGTGACTCTAGAGACCAGGGTTCAATTCCCCACTTGGCAATGAGATCCATTGGGTGACTTTGGGCAAGTCACATGTTCTCAGCCTCAGGAGAAGTCAATGGCAAACCTCCTCTAAACAAATCTTGCCATGAAAACTGCATGATAGGCTTGTCTTAGGGTCACCATAAATTGGAAATGAAGGTGTACAAGATCAATCAATCAATCAATCAATTAATAATTGAAAGAACAGGAACAAGATCTGGGACTTTTCAACCAGCCTGGTGTGTCCTCAGTACATAAATTCTAAGATTTTTCTTCTTAAGAGTCATTTTGCTTTTCCACATTAATACTTTTGCCCCTTTGTTGCCTAGCCACATGTGCCTGTCTTCATTTTTGAAATGTAGGTGGGTATGTTTTACAATGTTCCACAATCTCATCTGCCTCCAACTGTGCTTTTCTTCGAGCAGAGATTTGGCTTCTCTTCTCTTTAGGTCTCAAGCCTCATCTTTCAGTGAAAAGGAATAAATACATCCAGTAGGGCAGACTTTGCTCCGAGGTCACAATGTCTTAGACCATAATTCTGTAGGAAAGCTGCAGCCATGGGAATTCGGCTCTCCTTCCAGAGATGGCTGCTGCTGAGCTGACTGCAGGCTTTTTGCTAAATGGCTTCTGGGGCAGCAACTGACTTCATGATGGATGGCCCTGTTTTCAGATTCTGTGGGCGCCCACACTTGCAAATTCCTGTCTTGTGTGACAGCAAGGGCAGGACAGCCCTGAGCAAGGTTGCAGCTACAATTTCACCACAACTGTGACTTATGAGACTTATGAACCACAGCTGGCTCAGCACATACCCTAGCAAAAAGCCCTCTTTGTAAATAAACACACTACTGGACACAGAAGGTGGTCAGCAGATGCACAGGAGTGAACAATCCCTCCATAAAGCATCCTGAAATATGGTTTAAGATGGACCTTTGGCTTGAAGATGGAAAGGTTGAACTACAGTGGAGAAAACCACGCTGAGCTGAAACATGGCAGCTGGATGGCAGGGAAAGGATGTAGTTATGGCTCTTGACTATTCCTTTTGACCTCTGCTTCAAGTCTTGTAGAACATTCTCATAGCCTTCCATTTATGGAGACAGGGCTGGAGACTCACGTCTTTACTCTTACATATAGGGCCTGATGGAAATCACTCTCAGCGTGGCCCTCTCCATCCATTCCTTCTAAGACTACCACCATATTAACATCTCAGACTGTTGATCCATTTAAACCAGACATGGACAATTTTACGGGGCCCAGAGACCAATTTCTGGCTGAGGACCCACCACCTCCTGCATGAACAAAAATAGTCTAAGATTGAAAAGCACAAGAGATTTGTTCTGGTTTGGGTTTGAGGGCATTGGGAGGGGTGAACTGGGGACCCTGTGCCCCATTTTGCCACAATACCGATTCTCCTTTGAAAAGTAACAGAACTCTGTCTCACATTATAGTGCTTTGAAATGCAATTCATTATTGATTGCCAGGTTTAGAAAGATAAGTTGTTGCATTTCTCATTCCTTTGTTAGTTTACTCTGCTTTTTTGGGGAGAGGAAGAAACATAGCTTGAACTATAAGTATGGTAGAAAACCTGAAGAATTCAAATTCTTCTAAAATATAATTTTAAAGCAACTATAACTCATGTTAGGAATGTGATTTCATTCCCCCATGTTACATGACATTTGAAATATAACTTAATCGTATCCACTTTTTAAAAAACAACAACACAAGTTCATTGCATATAACAAGGTTACTTGTGATATGTTCCTTCCAAGGTGTTCTTTCTTTCTTTCTTTCTTTCTTTTTCTTTCTTTCTTTCTTTTTTGCTATGGATGCTAGAGATTGAAGCTGGATCCTTCTACTAGTAAATTATGGTTTTTCCATGCAACATACTCACTGAACTCCCTAGCAGAGACTGGAGGCACTGGAACTTCACAATGTCATGAACCCCCAATCCTTGAAAGCTGTACTTCAAAATGAACAGGACACAGTTTGGGTGTACAGAAGGCCATCTATCTGGCTGACACGTACCTGACTTCCTTTCTCACCAGGAGGACCTTCTTTTCCAGGATGACCCTGTAAAGAAAGACAGGATGAGAGAACCAACTTAAACTAGCAAATACTGTGCTATGGACTGAGGAAGCTTCCAAGGCATTCATTCAGGATCCAAACATGTTAATGCCCCTGCCAGCTTTGTAGTTGGTTTCTGGCTCTGCCCAACCCTAAACTGTTTGGAAGCCTGAACCACAGGAGATCATGACTTTTTTGGGGGGGAAGTATCTGATTGATTCTAAGACATATTCTAAGTGTTCTCAAGGTTGCTTGTTTGGGCCTGTGACGCCTTTAAAAACTATGACTAAGTAAACCACTGATGTCTAGATACCCTAAAAGCATCAGATCCTGTCTTATCTTGGAAGCTAAGCAGGATCAGCCCGGGTTAGTATTTGGATGCAAGACTGCCAATCAATACCAGGCGTTGGTGTCTATATTTCAGAGGAAGGACCACCTCTGAGCATTCCCACCTAAATAAACCCTATAAAATTCATGAGTGGCCACAAGTTGCTTTGTGACGTGTAGGCACAGACTCACTCACACAGAAGTAAATCACCTATTAATATTTCCAATAAGATCAAGCAAAAGCACTGGTGACTTGTGACTTGTATCCAACATGGTTGCTAATACAAGTTATCTCTTTCACACCACTGTACTGCTGTTAACATTTGGTCACAGGATTTCAATGTACATTAACATCCAAAATCCACAAAAAAGTGATTTCTTTATCGGGCCAACCAAAATGCACAAAATAAATGATACATCGATAAAATTATCACTGTTTTGTGGATTTTGGATGTGACTGTGCTTTGCTATATGGCCAACATGGCTACCCCTGGACAGATTGCACCGGAGGACAAAGAGATTCCTAGAGACAACACTTCACTAGGCATCTGAAGGTCCTCCAGTGCAACTCTGTGATCTACTTCTGCTGGAAGTTGACCATAGAGTCACACTGGAGGACCTACAGGTGCCTTTAGGCATCTCTCTAGGCATTTTCTAGCACCTCTGACATGATACTGTTATTGCATAGCAGTTCACTATTATCCCTGGTTTCAGGGTTGCATGATAAATTCAGAAATGTATCCCCTGCAGATAGGGGGTGCCCTTTAATGTCAATCAGGGTATCAACATCTTCATGTGGAGATTACGGCTTAAGTCTGCATCCATCCAATTCCACAGAAGGTATCCATCTCTGAATAATATTTTGCTGCTATAACCACAGGCTGGACTTTTCTCTTCCAACAACACCTTAACCAAGTGTGAAGCATACAATTCTTCACTGGATCTCTTCTTGAATAAAGTGACAAGTAATTTTACCTATTTTCTTTTCACTATGAAAAAGTCTTGAAAAACCATACAATGTTCACAAGACTGCTCACAATTTGACACTTATTCTGTGGGACATTTACACATGGGAGTTTTGTACAGAAAATGGCATAATGTTTTTTACAGAAAAAAAGCATTTTTTTTTTCTGCACAAAAAAGGCTGTTTCCTATCCAGAAAATGCTGTTTGCTGCATAAAATAATCATGTGAATTTTGCATAGAATAAGTCACAAACAGTGAAGATCCTGTCAGCCCAAGATTCTTGTCATCAGGTCCTTGGACTATTTTTGACCCTTTTTGAATCTCCTTCCATCCCTACAAGGATGGTTTCTTTTATGAGAAAAGCAAGTGCTACTACTCCCATCAAACTTACCGGGGGACCATCTGCTCCAGGCATGCCAGGTAGACCAGGTTTTCCTAGAGGACCCTGATGGAGGAAAAGGAAACAGAACTTAGCAACAAAGCTCCAATCCCCCCATTCACCAGAGGCTTCAATGAGCAAAATTTTGTAATGTGTAGAAACAGTTTTGGGTTCTTATGTCTTGCGAGGGACATATGCAAGCTTCTCTAGCCATGGGGTGAAGGGGAATAAGCAGATGTTGCATATGGAAGCAGAAGCTCTTTCAAGGTGCATCATGCATTCTAAATAGCAGTGGTTGCGGTTATATCACAGCTGCTTTTAATTGACATACTTTGTCTCCTGGAGGACCAATTGGACCTTGAGGACCTGGGAGACCCTAGAAGAAGAAGAAGGAAGAAAAGGTGAGACAATCCATTGGGTTAAGATAAACACAGTACATGAATAAGTCCTTCTTGATAAGGAAGAACATAGACAAAAGAGCAAGCCCAGTGATGCCCAGTGTCAGGTTGCTAAAGGTTCTTATCTTGGATGATAACTCTGAAAGTCCTGCCACCCCATCCCTCAAAAAGTCACTTTTCCAAACTCTTGCATTGGAACTACCAGTGTTTCAAACCAAGGGATCTTAGCAAACAAAGCTTGTGTTTCACAACCAAACATTAACCTAATATCTGTTTTTTAAAATTATTATTATGCTTGTCTGCAAGATCTGAGTGAGGCAGTTGAAGACTGAGGGACTTGGAGGGCTTTCATTCATTAGGTTGGCATCAGTCAAAGTTGACTTGATGGCAGTTAATAACAAAATTGTCAGTTGTTGTTGAAATCAAAAGACGACTAGGATTGGGAAGGGCAGCTATGAAAGACCAGGCAAGATCTTAAAATTGTCAGAGGTTGAGCCAAATTCAGAGAGGGCCAGACTCTGATTCTCAGGATTGGATTGTAATGATGGAATGGTTTGCTGTTATCTGCTTCCTGGCTGAAAATTGGTTTCCCCAACCTGGGCCTTTTCTATACTATAGAATTATAGCACTATGGTCCCACTTTAACAACTATGGTTCCATCTAACAGCATCCTGGGATGCATAGTTTTGTGAGGGACTGGAGTGCTCTGGCTGAGAGTCCTACCTCTCTGCAGACTTCAAATCCCAGGATTACACAAGATGCAACTTAAAGTGGCATCATAACACAATGACTGTGTAGTGGGGAGAAATAACACAGAATGTTACAAAGCCAAGTGTTTTAGGAAACTGTACAAAGATTAAGTGGTGGATCTATTCCAGAATCACAATT